AGCCTCTCACAGCAGTGAGTCTGCGTCCCGGGAGGCTGTGCAGTGGAGGCGCCACGTTCCTTTCAGAAGAAACTGAGGATCGATCAGAGCCTGTGGGTGGTGGGGAGGGACCAAGAGGTCTGCCCTCTGCCCCTTGCCAGTCTCCAGTCCCACCCTGCCGCCATCCAGCCCGGTTCCCCATGGTTCCCCATTGGCCATCCAGTAATCAAAGCTTGCGGACTGGAGGGAGGGACCAAGAGGTGGTCAGTGCACCTCATAGCGACTGGTTGATCGGTCGTTCTGGTCATGACGCCTAGCCTTTTATTATATAGGATGCTCCTATCTGTTAGTCTTTAGCAATGCTAAAGCAATCAGGTATCTTCTCTACTGGATAAAGCTGTCATTTTCAGAGACAAATGGTCTGCAGTGATGCTATATTTATCCATAAGATTGTGGGCAAATTTTCATTAAAAAATTCTGAATGATTTAAAAGATGTATGAACTTTCCAAAAATGTCTGCGTTTCTAACTGTGGAACCCACTATTTTACTATTTAGAAATAGATCCCTGCCTGTTCTCACGGACATCAGTAGCTGCCAGTAGAATATGCTGGAGTTTGGAAAGCTGAACTTCAATCCTCTGCCATCTGTCACCAATGCAGTAGCCTTGTGTAATAATGTAATTAAGAAATATAGCACATAGCATCATTATCAGCATCTGTATTACAGGGAATTATAGTATAAAATTAGGAAATAATACATGATGTTAATATCTCTCTATCTAAAAATACAGTGCAGCGTATAATTGGTGCTCCTCATTGTAATACTTGTGGTTTCATATATTTGCTCTGTTGTGCCTGGGACCTTGCACAACATTTTCTTTCTGCCTGATATGAGTCCTCTTTCTATTCAGCTTCCTATTCTAGCTAATTGACTAAGTCTTGAGGACTAAGCTTTATAATAACTTCCTCAACTTTCAATCCCTCCACATTGTCTTCTTCATCACATGTATCCAGTGGGCTACACCAGTTCCCAGCACATGTGAGCTCTCAACACATGCTTGTTAAGTAAATGAAAGCCTAGGTGGCTTTTCCTCCTATTTTTCCCCATAGCAACTTGGGCTTACCTGTGCCAAGTAACTTTTGCTCTGTATTCTAATAACTTGTGTATTTGTTTTCTCAAAATGAACTTTTTATGATAGGGCTTAGTTCTTGTTCACCAATTTGTCTCCACACTAGCACAGCATGTGGCACACCATAGGTGCTTAATAAATGCTGGTGGAATAAACAATGGGTGGACTTTTGTGGGTCCCTTGGGTTCAGAAATGTCCTGGCCATCCATCTCAAGCTCCCTTCTTCTATGGGTTCTAAATACTTCATGTACATCTTAGGAAGGTGCTCTCCGTGTTAGGATTATTGTTTAGTTTCATTTGAAAAAAGGTGGGAAGAAAGATCATTCTGGTGGAGGTAAGGATCTCATGAAAATGTCTTTGACAGAAATTAGTACCAGAGGTCTTAGACACAAAAGGTTTGTGAGTAAATGTACTCTCCATACAAATGAAAGTCTTTATGCATTTTGTCTAAGGATTAGTCAGAGGTAAATAAAAATTACCTACTGATTGAAAGAAAAGAAGCATGGTATAGTGAAAAACGGCAATAGATTCAGGAGGGTGTGGGCCTAGACCTACTTCTGTCTCTAGGATATTCCGTCTCATGAAAATGTTTCCTTAACTGCAAAATAACTAGGGGCGTAACAAGAGCTTTTGTCTCTAACAGCCATGTCAATTTTTTTTTTCTGAGTTTATATTTTGTAATTCACATTTAAAACATTTTTATCTCAACTTTGGTTATATTTAGGTTCATGATAAGTAAAACCACATTTCAGGAAATACCTTTTTTTCCTTTTGTTTAAGGCACAGTTTCCATGTATTCTTCCCTTTCCCTCCTTCACATGCCCTTTCTGCCTCCCTTATACCACCTTTCCTATCTTTGTTTCTCAAGGGAAATTGCATTTGGATATTCTTAATTCATTTCCAGGTGCTTCCAAAAATATTATGTTGTTAGAATGACTTGTTATTTAAAATGTCAATTCTTTAAAGCTATGAAAAGGATGACTGAAGTTGATAGCTTTGTGTTTTAGAAGATACTTTATTTCACTAGCACCCCTACACGGCGCTCTTGATTTAGGCTGTATCTTCCGATCCTAACACATAGAGATCCTACCACCGTGTACTTTTTTTTTAATTCTTTATTATTTAAAGTATTACATGAGTCTCCTTTTTCCCCCCATTGAACTCTCCCCCACCACCCTCTCTCCCAAACACAAGCCCTCACCGCACCCCCCTACTGTCTGTGTCCCATTAGTTTTGCTCATATGCATGCATATAAGTCCTTTGGTGTATCTCTTACCCCCTTACTCCCTGCCTTCCCTCGTAGGTTGTACAGTCTGTTTGATGCTTCTATGCCTCTGGTTCTATTTTTGTTCATCAGTTTATGTTGTTCATTATATTCCACAAATGAGTGAGATCATGTGATATTTATCTTTCTCTGATTGGCTTATTTCGCTTAGCATAATGCTCTCTAGTTCCATCCATGCTGTTGCAAATGGTAATAATTCCTTCTTTTTCTTGTCCACCTGGCCTTGTACCCCATTTGTAATCCTCTCTGTGAGGTGTGTTTCCTCTGTATTTTCCACTTGCCATCTTTGACTCCGTGCTCCTCCTCCTCAGTGCTCCTCCTCACCAGTGCTGTCCGTGTCAGTGACTCATGAGTGGCAGTTACAGCCGTGCGTCAGGTCTGTGTGGCCTCTGAAACAAACAGTGCTGTGTGAGTTGCTCCTCTCCTCTGCGGTAGAGTGGAAGAGGACCTGCCTGACACTGTGGGAAGAGGCAAGCCGGAGAAGAAGCCTTATAGGACACCTAGTGATTTAGTTACATTTGATCATCAAGAAGGCCACCAGTTATCACCGTGCCTTAGCATGAGTGCATGTGTCCAGATAAACAGGGGAAAGCATTGCACTCCAGCTCCAGGGAAACCAAGCACCCTCTTCAGTGAGCACCTAGGGACTGCGCTGCAGCATCTCACCGTTAGCCCTCGGGTGTACAGAGGCCATTCATCCAAACTACAGATGCTGGCCCCTCCAGAGAGCATCTGTAACAGCAAAGAGAAGAAGCCTCATAGGACACCTAGTGATTTAGTTACATTTGATCATCAGGAAAGCCACCAGTTATCACGGTGCCTTAGCATAAGAGTGCATGTGTCCAGACAAACAGGGGAAACCACTGCACTCCAGCTCCAGGGACACCAAGCACCCTCTTCAGTGAGCACCCAGGGACTGCGCTGCAGCATCTCCCCGTTAGCCCTCGGGTGTGCAGAGGCCATCCATCCAGACTGCAGATGCTGGCCCCTCCAGAGAGCATCTGTAACAGCAAGCAGTTTGTCACCTCATCCTCTTGCCCTTAGCCAGCCAGGCATAGGGGGAGGGATTATTAGGACAAAAGGACTGGTCTGTCACTCAGAAGATCCAATTGGAAGAACGCACAGCATTCCTTCTACACTCGTTGTCCTAATGAGGGGAGATAGTGTAGCAAGTTCAACCATAAAAAGCCGTTTATCTGAAGTAATTTTCCAGCCATCTCTATATGCTTTGAGTTAAATTCCTCACAGTTAAGGGGGTTTATGTGGATTTGATTTTTCCTTATAGTTTATCTTTTAGTTTAAATAAGTATAACTATCTTTCCTCTTTTGTTATCGTATCCATTGAGTTTCCTACAAGCTTGGAGCATGTGGAAACATCTCAACTGCAGCATATTAATTTTTGTTGTGAAAACCATGATTTGAAAAAAAATATTACCATATGTAAGTTTTTAGGAATACCAGCACTTTATTTCTAGCTTAATTTTGTTTAGAAATGAGCATGCTTTAAAAAAAATCCCCTCAAAGTGCTTTATAGTATACATCACTTTTTTAACTAAAGTAAATTTATTTTTTATGTTTTAAACTTTTTGTTTCCACAAGGTAAAGAGGATTGGAGTGGGATCCAGTCCCAGAAATACCCTGCTTAGCTCCTTGATTTTGAACCCTTCACTCAGCATGTCTCAGCATTCTTCAATTTATGTATTAAATTGTCCTGGGGATATCTTTTCTCAAGTCATCATGAAAAACTAATGAAATGAGATAATATATGTGAAAGTTCTTGAAAAGTTAACAAAGAGGGTCCTCAAAGAGTTAGAAACAAAAGTAAACTTATTCACACTTATTTAGTTATCATTTAAACACATATGGTGTTCTAGAGTTTATCGTTTCCTGGTATCCCAGAATTTATTTCCAAATGTCTCCCGCATGTAACATAAAAATATAATTTATCCAAACTAACAAGTTGTTTGGCAATTTTGGTCACCAGTGTTCGGATGAACTTGTGATATATGTTTAAATTATTTTAAATGTCAGTGATTTAAACTGCAATGATTACCAGCAATCAGTGAAGTGCTAGGAAAAGGCACAGTAATGGAGAATTAACTAATAACATACAAGTAAGGTGCAAAAGATTTATATGAACATTTGGGAAAAAGCAGGTTAATGACCTGTACACTTTCCCTAAAATATTCTTAAGTCCATGTATTAGATCCCCAAACACATTTATAGAATACAGACTTAGTGACTTTTCTTAATCCTATCTAATAAAAAACAAAAAGGGTAATTAACCGTACCTTCACTACACTTCCCATTGGCTAATCAGGGCGATATGCAAATTAACTGCCAACATGTTTTATGGTTATATGGTTTATGGTTATATGGTTTATGTCTCATAGACCTAAAATTGCTGTTGCCTTGAAAAAAAAACTTACCTCCTTCACCGTAAGAAGTTGCCCATCTGTTAATCTCACAAATATCAACTGAGATGCTGGGGGGATGGTAAAGTTTTGGTGTTGCTCCTAGGTTTCACTCTCCTCCCTGACTCTCTTCTTTCATTCTTTCTTCTCCCTCTCTTGACTTTGTCAACCTCTCTTCCTCTTTGCCTCTAGGGAGAAGCCCCCAGTGGAGGACAGTCATTGAAACACTACATGGAAGAAGTGAGTTTTAAGGTGGCCTGTAACACAGTCTGAAAACAATCTATCTATCGTATAGGATGAAACCCTCACGTGGGCTTTCTCCATCCGCCTGTAGGGTTTCCAGTCTATGCCCACTCTTTGGTCATGCCCACAGAAACAGGATAACAAATAATGGTATAAAAATGGCTTTTGGTCCTCATTGGTAGGGAGATACGGTGTGTCAATTCATCCTGAAAATGAAGGTATAAACCTAGTGCTATTATGTATTTTCACTCATAAACATTTGCTGATATCCTAGTAAATGAAAAACACATGCTTTTTGTTGGCCATGTCCAAAAAAGTAAGACATGATCATTGCTCTTATGACAAGAACAATCTATACCAACTGTCTTAACAATTTGAATATGTAGATATTTGTGGAAAACCCATTTAGACTTCTGATTTATTTGGAAGATATCCAAGGGTGCTCTGCGTCACATGCTGTGTCTTTGTGCAGTTTGCAAATGGAATTTGGGGACTTTCAGGTAAACCAGTGCATAGAATCCGTAAAACTTTATCTGAAACCAATCCACAGAGGTCACTAAATTAGCCACCTGAATTGTTCCAGGTGAAGGGATCTGGGAGACAACTTGGTGATGATGTCATGGAAGCACCAAGTATTTGGTTCTCAGCAAGACAATCTGTGTCTCTAATTAGTCTATTCTCCCATGCACGAATCCATTCAAAAACAGTTTTGATCGCCCTACTAAATGTACTATGTAGTCCGTTGATTCATTCAGAATACTGAACCTATACTGAAACTTGCTTTTACTTCTAGATATCACTTGGAAAGAAAAACCAGAGTGAATAGCATCCCTTTAAGTCTCCAACATTCTGAGTTTTCATGCTTGTTTGGAGGTGGTTGGAATTTTGTGAAAGGTACATGGAGAAGAAGTAATAAAGAAAAAAAAGGGAATAGCCAGGCAGATGTTTTAAGTTCAGGTTAGAAAAATCAAAATATATGGGGCAAAACATTGGAGGATTGGAACATCAACTTTGTTTAAATTTCCACTTAATTTGATACAAAAATTGAATAGAATACATTAAGCAATTAATGTTGCCAAGAAGAGGCAGACACTGTTTTCAACATGTGCACCAATAGAATCTCCCTTTAGGATTCTGTTTACTCAAGCTCTTGGCTCAGCATCCCACTTGCTGGTAGGGTGCCTTGTAATGTGTCCTGTATAGGTCTAGCACTGTGGAGGAAAGGGAGCATTGCAGTGTTGATATACAAAACGGGCTGCATATAGCTGATAGAACTTTTAAAGTGTCTTATATTAATTTTGCAGTTCTAAAACAACAATAAAAAAGATCCTTATTTTCCTCATCATTACAAATGTGCAACCTAAATGTACATGTTGTACGCAATTGTAAATGCTCAATGTGACATGAGGGCTGAGAATGTGTACCTTCTCAGTGTGGTCCTCAGACTAGCAACATCGTCATCACCTGAGGTCTTGTAAAAAATGCAAAGTCTCAGGGCTTAACACCAGATCCTAAGAATCAAAATCTGCATTCTAACAAGATCCCCATGTAATTCATAAACACCCTAAAGTTTGTGGGCACAGCCATAAAGTGTTCTTTCCAATGTTATTTCTAGAGAGGAACTTCATACAGCATGGGAAAAAATCAATGTTATATAATATAGGTAGAGGAACATTTTGTTAGTAAATTTATGAGTTTTGTTTATTCATCTACTCTGAGGAATAATATTTTTGGTTGATTCAGGGTATAAAACCTCAGGATCTTATGAGATTCATTACTGACTTTCAGTTTGAGTTTACGAGTATGTGTGAACTACCCAAGGTAAGCCTTGCCTTTCTTAGGGGTTCAATTTCACATAGTATTTTTTATCTAATGTTGGTTGATATTTAGCTTTTAGCTCTTTTTAAAATCAATAAGTGATCATTTTTACAGTAAAACTAAGTTTGATCTTAATTAGTGAACTACTGACTTACTGAAAGTTCTTTTCAGACAATAATTATTGGATCTTTAGGAAATATATTCAAACTCTCCTTTATTGTGAACAAGTTAAAAATGTGAGCCAAAAATTGATAGTTTTTGTTTTTTTCCTCACTTATGCTCTTATTTCACTTTTCCCTCATATTCCTAGAATCAGCAAACATTAAGGAACAGTGTGTGTGTGTGTGTGTGTGTGTGTGTGTGTGTGTGTGTGTGTGTATGCCAGAAGCATTGAAGTTAAAACTGAGCTAGCAAACATTTGCTTTTATTTAGTATACATTAAAACTCAAATAAACCATAGTGTTTACATTTTTAATATATTTAACATTTCTTGCTAAAGTTTGAACAACTCTTTGCAGATCAAAGTCTCTGGTTTTCTTATTTATTTAGTCTTATAATTAGTCAGAATCATAACCACATGAAGTTAGACAATTCTGTTTAGACCTAACTCAAAACTAAAGACACAATATAGTCTCCTCAAAAAAATAAAACATTTCTGGTCCATATTTTCTGTTGTTTAATGTGTAATTTTTTCCAGAATAGAGTTTATATTTTTGACCAAATAAAAAACAAGGTAGTTCATAATAATCTACTTTCCCTAATCTTCAAAATTGTTCTGACAATTTTTAAAAATTACATATTCTTTACTTACAAGGCACTTAGTAACTCAAGGCAGAAATAATAATTTCACTTTGTAAAAATTTTAGTGTTTGGAATCATAATATCAACATTCATTGTACACACACACACACACACACACACTCACAATTTAAAATAACTTATCAAAATCAAGGACTTCCAAAGCTCACTATGCCTTTTGTAGAGAAGCTGGTCTTTTTTAAAATCATATTTCTTTAGATGAATAACTGAGAGCAGCATAATATACTAGTTAGAAATTCCCTACTTATTAGAGAAATGTGTTAATTTAAACATACATAAATCAGATAAACATAGTGAAATTAAATGGTTGAAGGCCTCTGAAGAACTAAAGACTGAAGTTGATGATTTTTAAAACTTTTTAAAGAACCACTGAGAGCAGTTCTTCACAACCTCGGGAAGTTAGTTGGTGAAGGCCAAAGGCCGGAGGCAACATACACAGGAGTGTGAACTAGCTCCAGGTGTCAAGGGGCAGCTTCACAATCTCTCAGGGTGTCAGGCAGGAAAAGAAGCCTGTTAAGTGACAGACCTTCTTCAAATCTGTGGTGATTGGTTTTTCCAACTGTGCCACCGATTCTATGCTACAAAATATCTTAGAATCAATTCTCCTGCCAATTGTGTCTGTCTTTTCCCCTGTTTTATATTCTGTGATTGTTAATGCAATGAAATTCCAACTGTACTTCTGAAGGAGAGTGCATGACATTGTTCTTCTATAACAAATAAGACATAATGGACTTTTTATCATGCACAGGGATTTACTTTTTAAAAATTGAATTAACTATTATTTAGTATCATACTTTTATTCCACTTAGTAAACTAGGAAACAAGGAATTTTTTTTTTAAGGAAACTCACCTGTCATTGATATTCACTAAGAATTAATGCATGTAGTTAAAGGATAACATTTTTTTAAAGTTATAATCCTGGTTCTCATCTATACTAACAAAAGGGTAATATGCTAATTAGACTGGGAGACCTTCCGGACATCCTTCCGAACAAAGCCATGGTGGCAGGGCCGAGGCAGAGGCGGTTAGGGGCGATCAGGCCAGCGGGGGGGCAGTTGGGGACAAGCAGGCCGGCAGGGGGGGCCAG